TAGTTGTTATAACCATTATGGAGCTATATAAAAATTGATAAGTGTATTTAGTGCATAAAAAAATGCATAGGATTGACAAAAAATTAAATGTATTAAGGGGTTAGCATGAGAATTACAAAAAATGTATTATTTATTTTTTATACGGTACACCGCTTGTGGTGCATGCGTATATTAAGCTTGTGCGGATTTATGCAACATCCAGGTGGACTCGAGATAGATCCAGCTATTATTATGCCTACCGATCAATACAGAACCCTGTTTGAATTTGAATGCAAAGTCATTTTGTGAATCGATCCAAGCTTGTCTGTCCGTCCGTCTTTTTTTTCGTGTGTTCCACCTTCAGGCCACGAATTTTGCCATGCGTCGGACTGAGAAGCCACACTATTGAAAACGATTCAGATCGAAGCACTTTTTCGACCACTTGCCATGTTACGCTTGTTACGAAGTGGTGTAGGGTAATTTTTGGTGAATAGTGGCCCACCATACCCTTTGTACTTGTTCATCTAATAGTGTAACATGTCAAAAATGTTCTACTAAAGCTTCAAGTGAATTGTAGTAAAACTCTGTTAAAATTTTTCTCTTGTATATAATTAAAAACTTAAATTAAGAAAATATGTTTTTTCTTCTAAGGTTTAAAAAATTATACTATCCACTTTGATTTATAGAACATTAAAGAAATTGGAAATAAATTCTAAAGCAAAAAAAAAAATAAATAAATGAATAAACTGAAAATCATTTCATGATAAAAATTCTTCTAATATGTCTGTCCTTCAGAAATATTTTGTTTTTTGCTGTTTTCTTCAAAACTACGTCGCTCCTCGGGTATACTCCATTAAATATGGCTATAAATTACGGTTCGAATATCATAATAAAAGCTGACATTCAACTTTGTCTTCATGTACAATGCAATGGTTATGCAATAGAAAGCTTACGCTTAGTTAGAGTGATACGTCCCTAGAGTGCTAATACCCTTCCGTACACTTCTGAGGAAAACTCTTCAATTTGATTATGCATTTCTTGATAGCGGATCTTAAGTAAGCGAATCTTAGCAACTCTAAGATAATAAAATAATTGCCTTTTCTTTTTTTTTATATTTATTAAATAAATTATTATTACATAAAAAAAAATTGGTTTTTTTTTTTTTTGCATATTTTATTAAATAAACATGCGACCATTTTATTGGCGTTAATATTAATCTCGACGTTACTTGAAACGTAAAGGAAATTAAAGATCCGGGCACATGTCCATCTCTTTGTTAAATAACCAAATGGATTATGCATGAATGCATAGAATGCATGTAAAATTTCATTAAGTATTTAGGCTTAAATTGCAAACAAAAACTCAACGCAGCAAGTAAGTGCGAAAAAACTCTTTAATCTCACGTACGCGCGCCTTACGGAATGCAAAAGAGAAAATTAACGTCCAATGTATGTGTGTGCGAATGCGTAATCATGAATGTATTATATGTTTTTTTTTTTTTTTAATTCGTTTAAAATAATTGGATATAATTTGTTTTGCGAATCGGCAGACAGATGCTGCAGATGAAAGCAGTTCTAAGTGGAACGTAAGAACGGCAACGAGACAAGAAACGCATCGTACTTATATTCTTTCGCGCTTGAGCATTTTGTTCTACATTTAAACAAAAACTTGCGCAAGTTTTCAAATTTAACATATAACATGTTTTATCGCAAGGAAGAGTGCATACTGCCATACTGCCACATTTCAAATGTATATGCTACGAGTACGAGAACGTCTTGGAATTTGCAACTAATTGCAGTAGCCATTACCAAGATTAGTATAAAAAAGCCTATTGATAGATTAGCGATAGCTATAATTTTACCGAAACTTAAATTTTTTTTGTTCGTAGTTCATCGTCAATCAAGTCAGATTTACATTCTTATAAGGGGAGGCATGAACATTCATTCAATAGGCTGACTGGTGGTCTAATGTCAAATCAAACTAAAGCAGAGACCTTAACGTTATGCCCCATTTTACAATAAATTGGGATGATCATTGAATTATCAGCAACGAAACGATATAGAATATAGAATATCTTAAAAATAAGTAAAAAAATTATTAAATGCTTGTATGTATTGTGATCATTTTTTTTCACTTGAAGAAGGCATTTATTGGGAAAAATTGGTACAATGTATGTTAATTAAAATATTTTCCATTATTTTTTTTCAACTTTTTTTCATCTTTCTGGCAAGATGGCCATACCATGTCGAAAGAACAATATTGATTTGGCAGCGACTCAATCATCGACCCAATTTCGCAGTATTACTTCAATACTTCGAAACCGCGTGCCAGCCAAGTCATGTTAAATCGATCTGAACATGTCGTAATCAGAAGTCGCTATATATGGTGAGTACGCCGGATGCAACAGAATTTCCCATTCGAGCTAACAACTTTTATGACGTGTGGACGATCAAGAGGGTCATGCAAGAAGATGTCTTTGCGCCTGTTAACCGCTATTGCTGATCTTGCTAAGCTGTTCGAAAGTACTTTGATCGTTTGAGCTGGGTCTTGCAATTCATTGTCTTCGAAATTTTTTGGTTCTCCAAGCTGTTGTTTGCCGCCATGAACATCAGCTTCACCACTTTCCAACCATTGAAATCGAAACCGACAGTTGAGTTATGATGGAACAACATCACCATAAGCTTTCAAAAGTGTTTGATGCAATGTGGCACCAGATTTCTTCAAATCAAACATTGAAAGTAATGAGTGTCGAGAACGCAATTTTGAGCGTTCTATGATCAGCGTCTGTGTACATTGAATAACTCAACAATACTAAATGGAAAACCGTTATTTTACGTAGAGGAAAGTCAAAATGATCGAATTTAACCATGGTTTACATTGATACTTCGCATTACTTTATTATTTTCACCAATAGATGTCGCTGATCAAAATACATGCAAACACCTATTCTATTTTTCTGTGACCAAACCTTTCAAACTCGATCGCCAGAAAAGCTCAAGAAAAAACAAAAAAAAAAAAAAAAAAAAAAAAACTAAAGTTAATTACTCTATAATGTTGGGTGAGCACTTTTATTAAACGCAATTGGAAATTTTTTTCGTTTACCTTTTGTAGTTTATGAGCAACGACCAAGCAAAGATATTCACAGTTTATGTTACATTGTGCACGTACAAGGCTCATTTTTCAATTTCAGCCTGTGTGTAAGAAATGTGAATACTTCTACTCAAAATTTGACATCGAGATCTTAGCTTTTCTGATTCGAGCCACAGATATATCACAAACACTCGTGCTTATGTCGATTCAGAATTTGATGATGATCAAGAATGTACATAGTTTATGGCGTCTCTAAAGCCTCCTCCTGAGTGTTTCAAACGTTTTAACAAGTGCAACATTAAAAAAAAAAAAAAATTAAAGTGCTTTTAACAGAAAGAAAGCAATTGTGCGACGCTTTTGATCAGCAAATAAAAAACTTTCGATCGTGTTAAGAAAGCTAAATATTTAAATATCTCTAATGGTTTTTAAGATATTCAAGTACAGTCTACTCATAGTTCTGAAACGAGTCAACGAATGATAACTGGATAAGTGGATTATTCAATGGAATATTTTATTTGAAAAATATCAATACAAGTTAAGAAAGGGTGAAAAACGAATACCAGAGTTAAACTGAAAGCTGGATTGGCTTTAAAAGCGATCAAAGTTTTAGCTGAGCGGAACTACAAAAATATTTCATTTTTCGAGCTCCTTCCAAGCAATGAAACAATTAATTTAAATGCAGACCACAAGATCTGACAAATCTCTATAACAAGATAATGCCCTAAACATTATTGCTAATGCGTTGAAAATTTTTTGAGCTTGATTTCTTGCAGATGTTGTACTACTCTTAAATCCTCGATACATGGTTGCCCTTGATATCAAAGTTTGCAAAAGTTTTTATACGTCGAAATCGATGCAAGAGTCGGTAGTTACCTTCATACAATTTTTCGCCAAAAAAAAAAAATGACGAGAACTTAAGTTCAATGAACGCGCGTAATAATGAAGTAGCCAGCAAATGACAAAATGTAACTTAATTCCTTGTGTTTTAAAAAATGCAAGAAAATTATATTAGTCTTCAGGCTTATCTTCGATACCCATCGTTTCGTAGAATTTATTTATAAGTTATAAGCTAACGATATTAAATATTTTTAATGTTTACCGTTTGTGGGCAATTTTCACCCCGAAATCCTCCAAAATCGATTTTCAAATATACATATCCTATATAGTCTCTCTAATGCTTAACGAAAACGCTAAAACCTATCTTCTGGTGGGACTTTATTTCAGAAATATTCGCTGGCCGGAAGGGTGATAATGTATCATCCCGATATCTAAAGATTTGATTTACAAGTTATTCACTTAACTCTCGTTTACTTTAGAATTAAATTATTTTTGTTTTTTTATTAAATTAAGTAAAAGATGTGAGTGCATGCATCCCTTGCGTATGTTTTTTATCTGGAAGTTAGAAATAAAAATTATTTTTTTTCTCAAATTAACTTTAAATGTTACTTAAATTTTATTTGAATATTTTAAATTATTCCCTAACGAACACAGACATTCATTAAACGTCTTTACTTTATTTTGAGGAAATTTATAGTGTCTGGCTCTTTATGGACGTGTGCGATAGTGGCAATTTAATATGATACAATATATATATGCATGTTGGCTTCATCTGAATGCCTGTATAAATATATACATGTGTATGAATGCGCATATGTATGTATGTATGTATGTATGTATGTATAAACCGTTTAACGCAAACACTAATACAAATATGTTTTTAAATTATTTGTTTGTTCACACTGATGGCTTTGTTGGAATAAAATGGAAATTATTGTTGACAGAAAGCAGTGTACAAGCACTACCTATATATATATATATATGCCTGTGCATATATATGTATATAATTACATATTTCTCCACATTTGGTGACAACATGGGTGCTCGTTATATGCACAAAAATCATAAAATATTTTTGCTTTTTCGTATTTTAGGGTATACAACAAAAAACATATGCATTGAAACCTACAGCAAAACTGTTTAAAGATTTAAATATACTGGCGAAGGATGCAACATTTCATAATGCCACCACTATATATCCGGTAACAAATACAGATGATTTCTATCGTCTACATGCCTATTTTTCAAAGGTAAGCCTACTTTTCGAACGTATCGGAACTTAAACTAATCAACAATTATTATTTATTTTCAATAATATATATATGTGTATATACATATATATATATATATATATATTTACTTATAGCACCATTTGGAAGTGATTCAACGTCTTAGTAACAATTTAGAACTGAAATCATATCGTATTGCCAATGGTACCATATCGAATAACATATTAGAGATTCGATGGCCGTTGGGCGTGCCTTTGCCAAGCACCCCCGAAACACGACACGATATACTTACTTGGCATTTGCTAAATCGCTCTCATATATTTTTACCTAACGACGCCAATAATATTGAACCTCTAAACAGTATTGAAGCCCTCGATCTCGATAAAGTGCTCGAATTAACAAAACAATATGCCACATATAAATATTCCACGTTACAATATATGGGTATACATACCATTTATAGACGTTTTGATGCTACCCGCGGTATGGATTATCAGTTACATTTAAATTTTCGAGAAACGGGAAAATTTGCTTCAATTAGTCAAACTGATACGTTAATGAAGAGTTTTCAGATTATAAAGCCATTAGGCCGCGTCGAGGTGGTGCCCTCGCCTTATGTCACGGAGAGTACTCGTATAGCCATATTAATACCCACATTTGAGCATCAAGTTGAATACGCTCAAGATTTCATTAAACATTATGAAAGCACTTGTATGCGTAATCAAGACAACACATTCCTATTAATGGTAAATACAATTACTACGTAAATCATATCGAATGTTCATAGACAGGCGCCTCTCGCATAACGCTTTTCCAATATAATACGGTGAAAAGTTTCCGATTATTCTAGCATGATTTCAAAGAATCGATTTGTGTATTCCGTTAGATTGTTATTTCAATGGCTTTTGACTTTTATTTTTATAAGACAAAAAGAAAAAAAAAAAAAAAAAATTGAGAATAAATGAAATTAGCTGTAATTTGAAAATTAGTCTTGTGATCGTCAATATTATTTTTTAATTGTATATTTTTTTAATTCACGAACAGTAATTCGATGGTCGCGGATTTAGATCTCAAGTGCGGTAAAGTTTTCAATACACGCGAGCCTATGATCTACTTTGTAAATTTGTTTACCAAATACATAGAGAATAAATAAATAAAATAAAAATTTTTAATTTTTCTATTTCATCATAATTTTGAGTTGAATGGTTTGGTTTTTTTTGTATAAAAACTTGTAATTAGTTTATTTTTTCGTTTACATGGATGTTTCGAAAGAAATTTAAGTTATCATAAAATTTTATACCTTAAGGCTTGCTTTCGCTATAATACGGTGCAAATTGCCATTACTTAGGCAGGCTTTCAAAGTCTCGCATAACGCGACCTTTTATACAACACGATACACATTGCCTTGATATACATTATGTCTAAGCTCAAATTATATATACATATATATATATATATATTCTTCTATATTATAACATATTTCAAATGAATAAATAAAAAAGTTTCGTATAATATGGTTTCGACACAGCACGATATGAATTGATCGCGTTATATGAGGGACGCCTGCATATATACACATGTACATGCATTTAACTTTTCTATATTTTTTCCTACAGATATTTATGTATCGCTTTGACTCTATAAGTAAAGGTGATACAGATCCTTTTAGAGATATTAAAACGCTTGCCTTAGATTTATCGGCTAAATATAAGGCGGACGGCTCACGTATTGCTTGGGTTTCCATACGTCTGCGACCAACGCTAAGTAATTCAGTTCCTGATGATCATGTAATGTTGAATTCATTATATGGTCATAATGAAATTTTAAGTATTGCCGTTGCCGATCTTGCCTTACCTAAAATAGGTCTTGAAAGCCTAGTATTAATGGCTTCAAATTCCATAACCTTTAAGCCTGATTTTTTAAATCGAGTAAGTAATTTTCATTCGTCAAGGTAATATTCAAAAACCAATTTTTATTAATTTATAGGTACGCATGAATACGATACAAGGCTTTCAGATATATTCACCGATTGGTTTCATGCTTTATCCATGCCGTTTAGCAAGCTTTTGTAAAGACTGCGAAAGTTGCGATGTAAGTCAAGGCAGCGGTTATTTCGACAAATGGAATTATGATGTTATATCATTCTACAGTCGAGATTATGTACAAGGTAAGAAGCCTTTATAGGGAACGTATTCAAATAGTAAGTGAAAAATAAAAATTTGCTTAGAAAAACCATACTGGAATAACGTTATTTTTAAGATTCGGTGAGATACATTTTTAACATACTGCACGGAATTTCCACATTCAATGTAGAGATCGCAAGTTTTCAGATATTTCAACGAAGAACTCTGAGTTGGTTTGGTCCAAAGACAAACCCTATTAAAAATGAATAGGAAAAGAACGCTTTTACGAACACTCTTCGTACAATGTCGGAAAAATTCCTTGACTAACAGGACTTTGGCATACTTAGTTGATGTGGCAACTCCCTTAGTTAGCCACGCCGACAAAAGGTGAACCTTTTTATATGGCAATAAGATCTAATTTTTAATGTTTTACGATAGGAACTGATCCGTGATAGTAATTTGATATAAAACTTCACTATACCATCTTTGCAATAATTAAGTCTATTTTGAAGACTCATATTCTTTCTTTACGTCTTCACATAGCGAGAAAGTCGAATATGTAAGACTTTATGAAACTAGATGATAAATAAAAAAATTTAATTCGCCCTATTCGGACAAACTGAGTTGAAGCTTTGCACCCGTTGTGATAAAGTACAAGTTTTCTCATATTATCACCAAAATAAATGAAGCATTATAGTAGCCAATGCTATATAGAGTCTTGCCCAGCCATAATGTTTTTAATTGTTTCATTAGTTGCTGCAACTTTTGTCACATCTGCAGCTTAAAATGTATAAATATATTTAAAACGAACTCAGTAAAAGTTATGTCGCATGGTTGAACTGGTCGAACTGTTTTACTTTGCCTTGAAAAATATCGAAAAGGATCGTACGAAAATTTTAGTAAATGTTTACGTAAGAGGCTGGGATGTTTATATTTTTTTTTTTTATCAAGAATTCATTTATTTTCATGTTGATAGTTAGTACGAGATATTTAACGCAAGCTGTATTTCCATTTCTTCCTTTTTTTTAAGGCTTGACAGTAGTCTCTGTCAAATTTCATGTCAATATTTTCAGTAGTTAATTAGATGTGTTTGTTTATTTTGCATCTAAAAGTGAAGATTTCTCGTTGCCGAGTCTAATTCTGTGGACAATTATGGAAAGGTATAAATTAAATTCAAAAACTGATAGTTGCTTGGCGAATAGCTTCAGCCAAATGATGTATTATGTTAAAATGTCATTTTCACGAAAATGCCACATTTAATGATTAATGCCTTCGCATTAAACCAAGTTGACCTTCTAAGAAACCAAATTCCAATAAAAAGAAAAGGGGATTTTATGTACTCATGCATAATGGTGCACCTGCCACGTGCAGCTGGCGATTGTCGAAAAGATTAACAACGATTAGGAGAACATTTCGCGGGAAAAAAGATTAACACAAAAATGTCTCGTAACTTGCTTACAAAAAGGTACATAAGTCGAATATTTGCGAAAGGCAAAGACAATTGAGTCAAGAGAGTTAAATCGAAATATTCAACCGGACAAAACCAGAAGTATTTTGAATACAAGTTCCTGTAAATAAATTGCAAATAGATCTCCTAAGAACTATAAATAAAATGTACAAAGGCAATTCAATGTCCCGAAGTTAGTCTTATAAGGAATGGCTATGTAATAAATTTGAATGTTGGCGAGCTGATATTTTATTTATGAGAAAATTCCCTATGAATCTTTCCCAAGTGTGAAGAATATTTCCTAAACTGCTCGGCTTCAGAACGCCAAGTCGATCTGCCTTTTGACAAATGTCAATTTGAGCTCGGCATGAGGCAGTCCGTAACAATGATACCAAGAGGATGGAACGCCTTTGAGCTTTTAGCGGATTAATACGCTTGTTGAATTGCTTTGTTTTTTTTGAGAATTGACTTTATTCAATTCTTACCTGGCTATTTATAGATAAATTATTACACTAAATTATGCTAACGTAAACAAATAATAATTGTTTTAGTTTGGGCGCCTGGGATCGTATTGCATTACGAAATGCAATACTCAGCCAGGTGAAGTGTGACATAATTTTCATTTTTCTTTTTAGCAAAAGAATTATGCTGAATTTGCATTATTCTGTCGCACTTCAAAGTCGACGCATATTACGGTATTGCAATCACACTACCAAGTGGAAATCACAAAAGATAGTTTATAATATTATATCTTTATAACAGTTTACAAAGCACCATATCACGATAATCGAAGCAAAATTGAACTTAATACTTTTTGAATATAATGAAAAATATATTTTTCATAGACATCATCCAAAAATCATGTCCTAATGGATATCTAAATTCGTCTTTAATGCGCGGGTCGAAATATCCCAATCCTCAGCGAAAGCATGTGATTCTGATGTTTGTTTACGATTGAAATTCTTATTTTAATATCAGTTCTTTAAGTTGATCTGAAAATCTGTTCAAAAAACCGGCATGAATGGTGTTTATGGTTCCGATACTGTAACAGCCAATTATGTGCAATTTTGGTTTCGTAGATTCCGTTCAGGAATTTTTGATGTTAAAGATGCACCTCGCACAGGTCGGCCGGTCGTCGAAAATGTCGATAAAATCGGAGAAATGATCGAAATTGACCGGCATGTTAGCAGTCGTAACATCGCCCAGGAGCTAAAAATCGACCATAAAACACTTTTAAACCATTTACACAAAGCTGGAGACAAAAAGAAGCTCGATGTTTGGGTGCCACACCAATTAACAGAAAAAAACATGATGGATCGAATTTCCATCTGCGAAGCCTTGGCCAAATGGAATGAGATAGACCCATTTCTTAAACGGATGGTGACTGGGGATGAGAAATGGATCACATACGATAACCCTGTGCGAAAACGATCGTGGTCAAAGAGCGGTGAAGCACCACAAACGGTGGCGGCCAGGAAGGTTTTGCTATGCATTTGGTGGGACTGGAAGGGGATTATTTATTATGAGTTGCTTCCATATGGCCAAACGCTAAATTCTGATCTCTACTGTCAACAACTGGACCGTTTGAAGATAACGATTGACCAGAAACGGCCAGAATTGGCCAACAGGAGAGGTGTCGTGTTCCACCAGGACAACGCTAGGACACACACATCTACAGTGACTCGCCAGAAACTTCGGGAACTTGTTTGGGAAGTTTTAATGCATCCGCCGTACAGTCCGGACTTGGCACCAAGCGATTATCATCTTTTCCTGGCATTGCAAAATTTCTTTAATGATAAAAAATTCCAATCTAGGGAGGATTGTGAAAATCGACTACTAGAGTTTTTTGCAAATAGAGACCAGGACTTCTATGAGAGAGGCATTTTGAAGTTACCTTTAAAATGGCAACAAATCATACAACAAAACGGTGCATATTTGACCCAAATCGGACAATCCGAAGCATGTTAAATAAAGTCCTGAAGTTCATATAAAAATAATGGATTTCTTTTTCCCCAAACTAATATGTTCCTTAAGTTTATCGCACTAGGTTGGAAAAAATAGCCATGTTTCCATGCTGTACCAGCTTAAACGAAAATGCATTATTTAAATAATAAGAAAAAAAAAAAAAAAAATTATATTCGAAAAATATGAAAAAATGCCAACATTGCAACTATTCTCGTAAATTATATTTGATTTAAGAAACTTTGTGGCACGTAGTATAAGTGAATTCAAAAAAAAGGAACCACTTAATCTATATTTCTATAGATGGAGAGTTACATAGAGGTTTCTCAATGTATACACTTTTGAATGATTATTCAGTATTTAAATGAAAAAGTTTAATTTTCGCGCGAAACAAGGCAGTCAGACTAGTATTAGTAACTAATAGTTCGATTAACTTAAGGGAAATCTCCTTTCCTACAAACTATTATTTTAAAGGTAGAGTGTAAAAAAACCGAATAAAAGGAATTATTGCAATTGTTGGAGTTAAGTTGCATTTTACTTTGAAAAGTCGTTGACAGTGCCAAGAACCTATACATATATATTGCTATGTTGCTAGAATTACGTAAACCTGCTGCCGTAAATTGTGAAGATTGATTAAAATTATGAATTCATTTAGATGAGTAGAAAAGGTTAGATCTAGCATTCAGTCTTACTTTGTCAATTCGTTCGGCATTAGTGCTTTCGTTTTATTTATTTATTTTTTTTTTTTTCAATTTATTTAGTTTTGTTATTATTTTCCTTTTAATTTATTTTAAGTTTTAATTTTATTTCTCTATATTTTTTTTTAATTTTATTTTGTTTTTCACATTTTGTTTCTTACATTAAAGCTCGTAAACTAGTAGAGACATCTTTGCCTATAATGCGCATGGATACCGATATTGAACGCTTGTTTACTCGTGCTGACAAAAGCATTAACAACATTTTGGATATGTTTGTATCATCAAAAGTGTCAGTTCATATATTACGCGGTGTAGAACCAAATTTACGTTATGGTGGTGGCATCAGGCATTTCGTTGATAAACACAGACGAGAAAACGGCAACAGCTTAACGCTGCCCAAATGTCTGGCAGCAACGTCTGATGTCAGCGATCGCAATAGTAATAGTAAAAGTTTACCAGAGCCGCTAATTGGCAGCAGTCAACATAAATGCATTCATTTAGCATCCAGAAAACAAATCGGCGATGCCATCATACGTTATGAAGACAAAAGTATTATACATAAATAAAATTTAGTTATATATATCATAGGGATATGCATACGTATAAAGTATATATATGTATATATTTTGTAGATAAAAGTTTATTTTAAGAGATTTTTATTTTATTTTATTTTTTTTTTTTTTTTGACTTATATTTCGAAAAAAAAATGTTAATTTATGCACGTAGAATAATAGTATTTGTAAATATTGAAATTATACGCATATCATTTCCGATATGTACATATATATGCGCACATATGTATGTGAATATATAATTATTTACGTATGTCGTTGTTAACAAAGTGCATGCCAAAAACGTCACATATATCTGTGTGTCGAAATGCTCAAAAATTTATTTATAATTTTCTTAAATTTAATGTGCGATCACGTGAATTTTGGTGTCCTAGACCAGCGGTTGTAAAAAATTGGATCGCAAAGCACTTTTTGCTACGAATTAGGAAATTTAATTTACGGCATGATTGTGGAACTAAAATATTATTAAAAAGAGGTTATAGGTGCGCAGCAATCTCCGCTAATAACGATTTAAGTAAATCGATTAAAACAGATTTAAAAAAAGATTTATATCAAATTAAGCCGGTAAATTAATATCTACTGGCTGACTGATTGTCTACAGGTTCTCTAAATTCGTAATTTTGGTCCTACTCTTCATTAAAGATTACGGACATATTACTTTTGCATATTAAAGCACACATCAAAGATACCTTTGTGTCTGCCCAACAATACTATCCTTCATCCATCTTTTTTCCCTTACTATTTCACTAAAAGTCGATAGAAAGCTGAAATTCCGGAAATATACTCTTTGAAAATTTCAAAATATTATTTCCCATAGCTTGCACACTATAGCAAATAAGCCTTGAACTCATAAACGAAAAGAAGCTTCGCCACTGTTATACTGTTACTCGAAGTGGATTGAAAGCGAATATAAATATCATGCTTTCTTGCGAAAGAACTGCATAGGTCACGGAAAGAGAGAGAGAGAGAGAGAGAGAGAGAGAGAGAGAGAGAGAGAGAGA